AAGTTCAAGTGGCAAACTATTTATTTCAATCATTTTTTTAATAATTTGTTTGTTGCACAATGTAAATGAAAAAAAAATTTATTATTTATCCAATTTAAAAATAATTTATTTTGGGCAGATTTATTGTGGCCAACTAATTAATAGTTTATATGCGAGGAATTAACCAATTAAACAAATGATAATATAGTGTATTATTATTTGAATATTATTTAATTAGAAGAATTAGATGTTGGAAAATGTTACATTCAGAACCAAAGGGCTCCAGGCTCTTTTTATAAGTAAATAATTAATCAAGATTGTAACTTACATTTAATGCTAATGTTGGCCAACTGTCTTTATCATTAATAACAGTAAATCATAAATGACCATCAGATGTCACTCATCATAATATATATAGCGTAAATAATAAAATATATTATGTATGTTATAATAAATATATAAATAATAAATATTGAAATCTTCCAGACTGATAATAAAATGATTTTAAATATTATTAATATTTATCAAGCCCTGTTTCTAAAGGTTTGGGTCCTCTCCAATTCTTCATTAGGATATCCAAAGAATGGTTACTAACATTATAAACCTTACAAGTGAAAATTATTGACTTTAAGTTTTCTGATAATGTTTCATTTAATACTGTCAATACTTTATCAAAATCTATCTCACCATTATAAATATTATTAGATATAATACTTTTTAATTTAATGCAATTATTAAGTGCTTCCATTAATTCCTGGTCTAATTTATCCTTATATATTATAGATAAATCTTCTAAATTTTTACAATGTTGTGCAATTGATTGAAATATCTTTCTCAATAATCCATCATTGTAACCACCAACAATATTCAGATTTTTAAGATTTTTTCCATTGATATTATAAATAATAAATATTGAAATCTTCCAGACTGATAATAAAATGATTTTAAATATTATTAATATTTATCAAGCCCTGTTTCTAAAGGTTTGGGTCCTCTCCAATTCTTCATTAGGATATCCAAAGAATGGTTACTAACATTATAAACCTTACAAGTCAAAGTTATTGACTTTAAATTTTCTGGTTATATTTCATTTAATACTGTCAATATTTTATCACGATCTATTTTATCAGATTTATTAGACCTAATACTTTTTAACTTTATGCAATTATTAAGTATTTCAATTAATTTCTT